GACATTACTATTAATTGCTCAAGTATAATTATCGATATGTTTATAGTAGCCTGCTCAAATATATGATAAAATCTTTGCATAATGAATTGTTTAAATAACATCGAGACGTGAAAAGATGAGAAAAACGTAATGAAAGACACAATTAGAGACTCCCATTATATAGCGCTAGGTAGAGCTATAAAATTAAAAATTTCTGAGCTGCTAGATAATTATAGAATTATCTAGCGGTCAAATTTGTTAGCAGCACATATATTGATATTTGCCGTGTTACAGTAAAATAATGCCATGATAATCATATTAAATAAGCCAAAATCTACACCGTAATAAATCTTTCTACTTTTACACGTGCTTCGATAAGAGTACGGTAGCTAAATATTAGAAGTATTTAAACCTGAGTCAATTGTTCTTAGTTAATATTATGTATAGACCTTAAGAGGAAAGATAGACAGTTTACTTCGTATGATTATTAGAATTATTAATTCTGCAATACACAGTCTAGCATAGACTTTGTATCAGGATTTAGATTTGTAGTGCAATAAGTCTAATACTTATGGTTTAGAAATACTAATAATAAGAAACTTATATGCTCGTACTTTGAAGGGCTATTATTGCACTGAAAATTTTAATTGGCTAGCACATAGTAAAATCCATTTTATCAGCCTTGTAAGTATAGCTTCTAACATTGCAATAGTAAGCCCTCACTGCTACGATAGCTGCAGGTAATTTTAAAATTTGAAAAACTACACACAGCATTAGAACGCATAACAACTTTAATAATTTGATAGATGCAAAGCTTACTGTAGCCAATTTGCAATATCATGATTACATTATCATTACACGATTGCTATTAACATTTTTCAATCCATCCTACTGGAGAAAAATAACATATTAAATTATTTAATATAGTCTACTTCGAGCAAAATTAGTTGGATAAGCAGGCGGCTATCTCGACTTTGAACATTTTAAATTTTTAAATCTATCGCCTTAAATTACATATTTTTAATCATGTTGTTGATATTTTTAATTAATATGTAGCTTATTCGAGCATCAGAATAGAAAACTTCAGTATTTATAATCTAAATTATACAAATTCCTAAAAACACGCGTAGAAGTTATAATAGTTGAACCTGAAAAAAATGCTCTAATAATCTTCGTTATTGCATTTAGTCATTTTAACTGACTAGTCCTTTTCTTTTCATTTCATTTTTGTTATGATATATATTAACAAAATGACTATTGTAATTTTATGGATCACGATAGGGTATAATAATCTTAATCTGATTATTTCTCATAGGCTACCTTAGAAAATTGATGATCCTTATTAAATTAATTTAATTTTAACACAAAATTTAATATTTGTGTTGGCTATTAATTCTTTACTGCTTACAAACTGACATTGTACAACTATCAGCAGACAATGCAAGCACTTGTATTATAAGTATGATATAGTATAACTTTTAGATCAATTTTATCGTCTGTGGCTCAGATGGTATATTATGCCTTAGGAAACCCGAAATAACGCTTTTTTCTCTCATAAATATCAAAATAGATTCAATAGATAGAATTTTTGTTTTATTATGAATGTGGGTGCTCTACAACTTGGTTGTTTCAATATAACAATACTATCATTTCTTTATAGTTATTAAACTAATCAGTAATAGATACTACGAAATGGGTATCTATCTTTGGGTTTATTGTTAGTTTACTGAAATGAAAAGATTTAATATTAGCAAAGTGGAAGAGATGAGGGATAATCGGGAGATAGAGATGTTTTTGTGCAAGATAGGCTGTTTTTTGGAAATGAGATAATTGTTGGTTTCTTTCTCGCTGATAATTTTTCATATTCAAAAATTGAAGAAAATGACAGCATATAAAATGGAGATCCAGATTTCTATCAATTTTTTCTTTTATCCACGTACAGGTTAAACGGTTATCTTACAGCAGTAAATGACAGTGATACTGTAGAAAGATAGACGGTTATCTTACAGTACTAAAGGACAGTGTGATACTGTAGAAAGATAGACAATAAGACAAATTGGGTGTTTTGATCTCGTAATGAGAGCATAAGATCTGCCTTTGCGATTTCTCGTAATGTAAAGTAATGAGTCATGTTGCTAAGCTTTATATTCTTGTTAATCCTTTAAAAAGAACCTTTGTCAATAGTACAGCAGTATTCGTACGAATAATTTAACGTTTATAAATGTCCTGGTGATACAACGAGAAAGAATTGTTTTTTATTCTTAATTGTCAGACGAACTAATTACTAATGTGAAATGTAAATATAGTATTTAGAGTCTAATGTTATCTAGGAGTGGAGATAGAATCATTACATAAATAGCGCAGTCTTTTAAAAATTACTGAATTCTAGATGCACAAAAGTTTTGTCCTCTGTTCTAAACAGTATATATACAATGACCCTAGTCAATATATTTACCCGCACGTATCTCTATCGACTATTCTGTAGCATACTGTTGTTACTTTTATCATCAAATTTGTTGTAGTTAGTGATTATTCTCGAATTTGAGCTATTTATAAGTATCAAAATCGATATTGTGTCTTCGATCTTGACAATTTATCACTTATACAAGTATATATATAACTCTTTATCTAGCTTATTTTAATAAAAAGGATTAGAAAGAATAAGGTTGTAATAATAAGCCTTTAATATAAATAATTTTATTATTTATCGTTAAAATTTTATATTGATTTATTTACCAGTGAAACATCAAGACTAGATCAAGAAGTTTATGTTGAACTCTGGTCCAAAGGTATAATATGGGATAAATCGTTGGGATCTGTGTGGTTGCCGTTAGCTGATGTAAGACGTTCAAATGAAGATAGTACAGGGGATTGGTTTAATGTTATCCGAGAAGAAGACAAACCATTAATGAATGGAACTCATGATAGCTTATACAGTATTCTAATTGATGCACGCTTCGAATTGCCATCTGGTTTGTACAATAATTCTACTTGAATTGTCAATCATGCAATAAATGATTGATTCTCCTATAGATAAATAATTATAGGAATTGCTAAAATTATTCGTATACATATCAACAATCTAAACGATACTATTTGCAAATTCAGATTTAAGTAACAATGAAGCCAAAGAGCTTGAGAGAAAATTACAAAATTTATATAGCGTTTTTAAAGACGAAGTAAGTACAGTGATATAAAATTGTAATTCCATCCTTAAGCATATGCTTTTACTTAAATAGATGCAAATAAAAATCTAACGGCATGCATTAACCAAATTTATTCTCCTTTCAATAGATGGAATATTTAAGTCAGCAATCTAGAAGGCCGAGCATTCAGCGTAAGTATATTATAAGCACTTTAACTTAAAATTATAATAATTATTTTGGCCTTTCATAAATTTAACATGGTACTTTGTGTACCATATACGTGTGTCTTGTTTACCTAAAACAATTAATAAGGACATTTTAATATTACAGCCGACATTAAGTTTTACGATAATAGTACATCACCATCGACACCGACCAATGGTCCCAACGATGATGATTTAGATAACGAACTACACGAGAATGGCCAAGATGGAAGTAGAAATGATTCAAGTAAGATCAACATGTATTCCTTACGAAAGTGACAAGTTATAGGAGTATCTAAAGATGTAACATTATTCTTCTACGATGAGCTAAAGACACTAACCAATGCTTATGTTTTATAATGGACGTAGTTACTAGTAGAGATCCAATTAGTAGCGAAGGAAATTTGAGCCGTAGAGAAAGCACTGGGATATCAGATACGGAGAATAATGTAGAAAACTCGACTGAACCTAACCCACCCTTGGTTAATGGTGTTAATGGTGTTAATGGTAGTAATACACAACCTAAAATAGGTAATAAAAATCATTAACTTAATTTCATTTCAGCTACGACATCTGACAGTGGTTCTACATATGTAATATATTAATGCTATTACGTTAAATATCTCTCAATATTAACATTCAAACTATAGAAATCACTCAAAGCGATAATCATAAAATTACTCAAGATACAAAGTCTAAAAAGGCTGCCGAATTATGGGCGTCTGCGTTCAATAAAATTAAGCCACAGAAAAATGCATCGGTATAAAGATATTGTTAAAATGCCTACTCTAGTATTTCATGCTTATTTCATTATTGAGCTAAGTTTCATGACTTACTCCTTGCAGCGTTCCAATAACCGACCCAGATCTTTCGAATTTAATTGGTCGACTGTTTTAGCGGACGCAACAAAAGTAGTGCCGTAAGTTTCCTTTCTGTAATGTTATTGATACTAAATATTTTACTATACTACTTGATTAACCTTGTATGTTATTACAGTAAGCCAATCTTTGCGATATATTATTGCAAATAAAGTACATCCAAATATTACTGTTTACTTCAATATAACATGCTTTTAATGTCCGCATGAATTTCTTAAACTACTAAAGATTAAGCTGGAATAAAATCAAAAATACTGTACAAAATATTGTAACTAAAAAAATACCAATTAATGCAATATACTGCACTGTTGTAGTAGTGATAATACAGTAAAATTATAGTCCTAACGCGATCTATTTTTGCCTACTTACAATTCCGCACAAATGCTTTTGCTGATTGATTAATATCTTTAAATTGCAATTGCTGGTTCTTGTTTATAATATCCAACTACATATAGAGACAATCGGGACATGTTCATCAAGGATGTCAGCATTGCATTACCATTAATTGTAAGCATTCCACTCTTTTTATGTCGTGTTATACTAGAAAATTATGAAACCATACTTAACATCAATTCTAATTATGACTGTTTTAAATTAGAATCGAACTCATCGAACAGTAGGGACTGTACCTCATCAGCCGTCGATCAATAATAGTGACTTGGTAAGGATAATAATCTATTCACAGCTCTAAGCTACTGTTTCATGAAAGTGAAGTTGCACTTTTTCATCAGATTTTTATTAATTCGAATACGTAATGAAAGGCGCATTAAACAATTATTAATTGCCTTATATAGAAATTGCGAGTCTATAAGAAAACCTTACAAGCGTTATTATATCCGATATCCAGTGAGTCAAGATTTTGAGCTAAAACTATATTCCACCACAGTCCTATTGTAGCATTACAAGATTTCTATAGCATTTTTACACATTACTGTGTAAATGCAAACTATTAGCCTTGACATATTTGATTACCACTGATACCAACCTTTAATACTGCAGATTCTAGCCCTCATAATTTTGAAAAATGGAGTGCTAGTGGACCAACTTACTGTTGTGAATGCACAGGTTTATTATGGGGTATTAGAAAGCAAGGCATGAAATGTAAAGGTAATTATTTCACTCTTAATAGTGCTACTTAGTCGTGATGCGGTTATGTGTTTTAATTTTTTGTACCTATTCTGCATAGATTATAAATATAGTACATGGTCCAGTAATAGAATTTACGTAATGTAATCACATTAATTGCAGTGCATTAGCATTAGATTCCACCAGAAGTATTGCATGCGTCTTTTAATAGTTAATGTGGCACTGTATTGAGTGATGATCCTAGCCATTGAACAAAAATTTTGATATTATATTGTAAATGAATTGCCTTCGGAATTTGAATTAGCGTGCGGTGTGAAATGTCATGAAAAATGCATGAACTTATTAAATGATGATTGTCTACAACGTAAGTTACATTGAACAATGTTTATCCAAGAAGTATTTGAAATTGTCTATTAATTGAAGCAGTCTGGTGTTGAAATACTATGCTAATCTAATACGTTCATTACAACGGAATAGGAGCTGCAAGCAAATCCAATAAGCGTGGTTCTCGCGACAGGTCGCAACAAGTCAGACAAGATATGGCTAAACGAATGGATGATCAGGAATCATCAAATGCAGAGCTTTTTCAACTAGTCAGGTAATTTTTTATCCAAAACTATAGTCATGTAAGATCATTATTGAATATTGAGATTATATGCAATGGGTCTTGTCAGTGGATATTAAACTTCGTTTTATGAATAAGTACCTTCATGTCTTACAATTGACGGAAACTGATATATTTGATCATTTCTAGAGATGTCTTCAACATTGAAAACAGGTTACATGTCGGCTACTTGAAACATGTACGACAGAGCATCTTAGATGGGACATCAAAGTGGTCGGCTAAAATCAAGACAAAAGGTAAAATAGAAATTTGACATATTGCACAATGGTTTATATCTACATAAAATATTCAGATTAAGGATAATATTCCTCTTTTACCAACATTGCAGTGGTGTGTGCACAAGGTCTTATCGCCAAAGATAGAACAGGTACAATACTAACTACGTTTCATTGTCAAATGTTATCTTCTTGGATAGTTCTAATTATGGTTCTAACAATAAGTTCTAGCTAATAAATGTTCATAATAATGCCAACTATTTTTCTATTAGGTTTAAGCGATCCATATGTTACCGTTCAAGTTGGTAAAACAAAGAAACGTACTGAAACTGTGCAACAAAATTTAAATCCCGAATGGAATGAAGAATTTGTTTTGTAAGTAGTATTTCTCTATGCTATTTTAAAAATATAATTAAGTATTCGCATCACAGTCAACTTTGTCGTAAATGATATTGAATAATCAGGCTATTTGATGAATTTCGTTCCATAGTGATTGTAATAATGCCTCCGATCGAATAAAAGTTCGCGTGTGGTTAGTATTTTTAACTACAAAATAAATACCTTTAGCTTACTACAACACTGGAGCATATGATGCAGTTATGTATTGTCGTGGTCTAAGTTCTCATTGATCTTTCACTTAGGGATGAAGATGATGATTTCAAATCCCGTATTAAATCAACATTTAGTCGCGAAGCTGATGATTTTCTAGGTCAAGCTATCATTGATGTTCGTACATTGAATGGCCAAATGGATGTTTGGTATAATTTAGGTAACTGCGCATTGATACTTTGCAATATGTTAAAGCTACATATACTTAAGACTCCATAGTTAAATTGAATATTTTCTTATTAACAGAGAAAAGAACAGAAAAATCGCTTGTATCTGGCTCCATACGTCTTATTATCAGTATTGATAAAGCACACGATAACGAGGAAAGCGTAGCACCTTATCACCAGCAATACACTTGTTTACATGAGGTAAAATCAATCCTCACCGTTGTTGCCTATCATAGATTGAGATTTCACTCGTAATTACGTACTAATCAGTCATACGCAATTTTTAGAATCTGTTTTACTATTTATGTGAGAAAAATAATGGAAAAGTACCAATTCCAACTGTATCATCGACCGTAAGTATACGTCGTATTTTACTAATCAACTGACGAAAGTATCATAGGTTACCAATTAATGGTTATTTGACCCTTATATATCGTTACGATATATTAACATTTAGGAAGATTCGTGGAAAGTCTATTTCCCTAAGGAGGGCCAAGAAATCTTGAGGGAATTTGCAATGAGTTTTGGAATCGAAGAAATCTATCAAGCAATGACGTAAGTCGTAGATTTTATATTATGTTTTACGCTGGAAATAGCGTTTATTTCGCGTTAAAATTTCTGATCCTTACGTATTCAATTTGCTTCCTAAAAATGAAGGCACTTTTCATGCCTTACCACGCGCTTAACAAGTCCTGGAGTACCAGCAGTCATGAGCTCTCTTTTAGCTAACATTAACGCCTATTATGCCCATACTACAGACTCTCACAATGCTAGCGATAGATTTGCTGCAGCAAACTTTGGTGTAAGACCTTTATATTGAATTTACTACAAATTCTTTCATAATTTATTCCTGTCCTCTTATCCAATCATAATTTTCGCTTGATTTATTTTCATTAGAAAGACAAATTTGTCAAAATTTTGGATCAGTTACACAATGTATTACGAATCGATATGTGCTCCTACAGGGTAAGATGGATCTATATATTTGAGATACTTATTCTACAGAAATGTTTTGATTAACTTAATTATTACTGAATTATTTCAGACAAGTTTTCCGTCCTCTTCTCCTGAAAAATTAGCTGATCTAAAAGCTACGGTGGATTTATTGACGAGCATTACATTTTTTAGGATGAAAGTAAGGATAATCGATTGTTTAATTAACAGCAATATCGAAGTACCGAATTCATTAATAAAAATTAAATTGATTTATGTTATTTAGGTATTAAATATTACAAGTCCACCTCGTGCATCACAAGTTGTTACTGAATGTGTCAAAGTATGTTCGAAATAATGGCTGTATCTATTAATTTATCTGGAATAATAATTTTAACAGCATAGATAACAATTTTTCCGCTTTCAAACCAGGCTTGCCTTAAAAGTACCTACCAATACATCTACCAAAATTGTACAGATTTATATGATAATGCTACCAATGATAATGAAGAGCCAGATACCAACAATATATCCAGTAATAGCGCTAATACTGTTAATGGGAATAACGTGAAACATTTCGATTTTTGGAGGAAATTAATTGGTGTTATCGTTTCCGTATTGGAAGAGGACAAAAATTGTTATACTAGTGTTTTAAGCCAGTAAGAGACTTAGAGATCTAGCGAATAGCTTTTAAATCCGATAGCAATTTACAGTAATAGGATGTTCTTAACTATACCTGCCTATTTCTAACTCTTCCAATATCTGTAATAAATTATTTTAGATTTCCTTCTGAATTGAACGTAGGCCATTTAAGTGCGGAGCATATTTGGGCTTACTTAGCACAAGATATGCAAGGATTCTTATTCGGTTTGTATTTTATCAAATCGCATTATAAATAATAGCGAAATTGTTAGTACGTTAAAAATTGATGAACGTGATTATCTATTATATTACAGAACATGCTCAAGGCGATGTCATAGAAAATAATAACGAATTTATTAAACTTCAGTTCAAGGTCAGAAATTATTAATTATGACCTGTTATATGTCAATTTTTTTATACTTTTTCCTAAAATTGATCATTCATTTAGTTTGAATGTTTATACCTTTACTATGTCGATTAAAAGGTGAAATGGTTATATGATAATTACTGCAAAGACATTCCAACATTTAAGTTAATTATTCCTCACTATCCATCGTAAGTAGCGACTGGGAATACAATATTTCGCCTTGAAGATTTCTTTATTGATTATCTGATCATGTAATAATAAAATGCGTTTAATTATTTGCATCGTTAAGATGGTTTGAAGCCTACGTCATGCAGTGGCTACATGAGAATGAAGAAGCCTCAACGGAATTTATGTACGGTGCTTTCAATCGTGATGAAAATAATGAAGACAATGAGGAAGTATGTCACTAAATAGCTCTAATTTTATAGCACTTACTGTACAAAAAGCAATTTTGAGCTAATGTGCACCTGATTTCTTTTCACAGTTTCAACCAATATCGGAGAGATCTCCATTTTCTAGTTCTGTCGTAGACATATTTTGCTCCTTAACGCAGGTATGCATTGTTTTTAACATTTATTTGACATGCATTAAAACCTATTTATGCATATTACTTTCGACCTTTTAGAGCTATGAAATAATAAAGAAAATGGAGTGTCCTGATCCGGCCCTCCTGGGAAAGTACATGGAAAGATTTTGCCGGGTCTGTACTTATTTACTGTAATACAGTAATTAAGCCCATGTAATAGTATATATTTATCGACATCTGCTTTAGAATTCATATTCTTCTCCTTTAGACAATCACGTCGGTGTTACTAGGATATGCCGCTTGTATTTCAAGAGACTTTAAGAAATATTGTTCCTCAGAGAGAACGGTGAGCAAAACGGACATACGCGTAATTATATAAAAGATATTTTAAGTCTATCAAGATACGAATGCTGTCGGAAAAATATTCCGTTGATATAGAGTATTCTTATATACTTAGGCTTGTACCCTAATGAATAACATCCATCAAGCAACTGTACAATTAGAAAAATTATTTCTTGCAATGGGTGGTGATTCGGTAAAGTGCAGAAATTAGCATTTTAATCTAAATTATATGTACTGTTTGTATAACTGTTGACTAGGAAATCAACAGAATTCACTGCTTGTATGGATAGCAAATATTTTATCATTATATTAATTTTTTGGAAATTGTAAATCAATTTAATTCAAAATGTGTTATATCTACTATTTTAGCTTGGCTCAGAACCAAAGAAAATTTTAAATGAACTACAAGGCAGACTTAAAGAAACAATAACACAAATCAGTTCTATCTTTGCCGATAGGTAACTAAATATTAACATACGTAAATATAAGTAGATATCTTGGTACTGATTTTGCTGTAAATGTTAATCAACCGTGAATGCAGCCATGAACCAACAGTACATCAAGCTTTACTGAAGCTAAGCGCAATCCTCAGCACGTAAGCCTTTAATAATTACTATATCAATTTATAAAAATAACGCGAACATTTCTTAGGCCTCTTTGCATTAACAACTTTTATGTTATTCATTGCTTAATATACAGAGTAAAAGGAGCTGCAAATGTTCCCGCTAATGCGGCAACGGTTGGCAAACAATCACAAGAAGATTCCTACCATGTTATGGGACCACTACTAGAATTCTTAGATAGCCAGTAAATAATTTCAGACTTTTGATTTATTAAAGTTTTGGTTACTCAGTCTCATGAATTAATTTATCTGACGCTTGACTTTTTAATTTAAATAGTTTAAATTCGTATCACCACAAATGTGATAAAAATATTTTGAAAAGGATTTTAAAGGTTTGTCATTTAGTAGTATAGGATGGTAATTGACTCAATCAATCGTAAAATAACCGTCCTCATCTTGATATATATCATTTAGGAATTATGGAGGCTTGTATTATCAAAAATGGAAAGGGTCGTAGTTCTCCCTCCGTTATCTGATGTTAAAGTAAGTAGTATCGTCCTAAAATACATTCTGTAAACCTAAAATAATCTAAATCTTACATATTACATATTTATGTTGCCTACCGTTCTTTTTACTGGCTTTTAAGATTATATTCTTGCATAATTTTATTGAATAATATAGGAAATTGCAAGGGAAGGCAGCAAAAATTTAAGTCCAAAGCAATGTTTCATTTTAGAAATTGGCCTTAAAAATATCTTGGTAAGGACATTATAATTTTTTGGTCGATATTTTATAATTTAAAAGCTTTAGAATACTACAGTCTACTACTGTATGTTGCAAATTGAATACTTTATTATGCTACTATCACTCAGTCATCATTAACTAAGACAACATTCCAAGATATCCTTACTGTTTTTACTCTCTATTTTTGTATCATTTATCTTTGTTTATCTGCAAGTACTAAAATCCGAGTAAAAAGCAACGTATCAGTTGTAACGCTGGTGCAACATTAAATCACGGGTGTTCAATGTCATAACTTTAGCAATATGTGTGTTACTTATAACAAATCAAGTTCTTAAGCCTTTGTAGTCAAATTTCATCTAAAACTGCGAGATTTAGGATATCAAATGACATGTATAATACTTACTTATCTTGATTCCTTGCTGCCCTATGATAGCAAACGTTCTAGTAATGAACTGTAATTCTTCAAAGTAATCACTAATCAGAACTTAATTGCGCTGTACAGCAATATTTCCATGCTGGTGGCAACGGATTAAAGAAAGGTTATCTTGAAAAGAGTGTTGAATGGCAGTCTCTTCGCTATGCCCTCTCTCTTTACACACAAACAACAGATACGTTAATTAAAACTTTTGTTGAAAGCCAGACAGCTCAAGGTAAGAATACTATTAACTTTTTGTATACATTTAACACTTTGCATAGAAAATTTAATTTAAATACATAACACCATTGAAACCAAAATTGCAATATCGCATTAATTTTTAGATCGATATGGACTTGATGATTGTGTTGGCGAACTGAATTTACAAGTAGAATTATTTACTCATCCCGGCACCGGAGAACATAAAGTTACTGTTAAAGGTTTGTTTTTATGCATACTTTTTATTGCTACGCTAAAATCTAGATTACTGTCTTAATTACTAACTTAGTTACTGACAAAATTCGTTTCCTGATAATTTTTAGTTGTGGAAGCTACTGGACTTTTATGGCAATCTACTAGTAAGTTTACTGTTATAGCATCGGTATTATAGAAAGAGAGAATAACAGATAGTTGTATATGTGCTCTTATCATGTACTTTCTTTCAGACATGTTTAGACCATTTGTCGAGATCAATGTTATTGGGCCACATTTGCACGATAGAAAACGCCGACAGTCAACTAGATCAAAAAGTAACAACTGGGACCCAAAGTTTAATGAGATATTTTATTTGTAAGTGCTTAAAAACAATTCGTAATCGGAATATTCCTTATTTCATAATTAAATTGCCTTAGTAAATACATTTTACATAAGTGAATAGGATTTTATACCCTAACATTGAAATTTATTTCTTCATCCACAGTATTCTCAGTAATGAAGATGATCCTTATAGTTTCGAATTGCATATTTGTGTTCGAGATTACTGTTTTACCCGACAAAACCAACTTGTTGGGATGTGTGTTATTCAATTACGTGAAATTGCCGACGTTGGCTCCCGCTCTTGCTGGTGGCCATTAAGTCGAGCTGTTTATATGGACGAAACAGGGCGTACTGTTCTTCGTATACTATCACAAAGAATGCATGATGAAGTTGCCAGGGAGTTTGTTACCTTAAAATCGGAATGTCGCCCTGGCAATAACTTGGCTAGAAATTAAAATATAATAATCACTGTCTACTTATTAATAGTATGTTATTAACGCAACTATTTTACTTTAATGAAATATATATTCTTTGTATGTAGACAATTCTTGATTTGCATGTATACGGTATAGTGAATGACTGTATATGATGATATTCAGATAGTATGTTAATACATTTTAGTATCAGAAAGCGTAAAGCAAAAAGCACTGACATCTACTTATAAAATGTCAATCCGTTTTCTATCAAGATTACAGATATTAAGCGACCTTATTCTTATCTATAATTTATATTCTATTTGTTATATTATATCACTCTACCTTTTACAATATTGTCGAACAGACATATTTGATATGATTGCTTGAGGCAATTTGAAATATTACCACCAATGTAGGTTAAATGTACTCTAAATTATTATAATCCATTCGCCATCATCACTCGAAGCTGTGTATCAATTCCTAATATCAATCGCTGTTGGCAAAAATTTTTGTATCATATTTGTAATAATCTAACTGATAGTAAAAATACCTAATTAATATGCAGCATTTCCACTATTAATGATAGAGTAATTTTCATCAGCAGCAAAACTTGATCAATAAAGCATTTATAAGGAAGCATTTGAGAATAAGAGTTTATCGATGCGTGTTATGTCTTAAATGTAAAATCCTGATGTCTGGCAAGGCCTAATTTTACGATTTTATTTAAGCCTGTGTAGATGTCGTTAGTCTACATATGATTTTGTAATTCACAGCACAGTATATACACAATTTCTTGTCATCGTCGATTTCCTTTCTAAATATAAGGTAAGTTACGATAGGTTATTGCTATATACAGTTTGCTTACTCTACTCTGATATAGAATTATTAGTTCTGCACTCTCATATTATGGGTATACTCGTATTGCATCATCTACAGTGTGTACTATGTACTGAACATAAAACTATTTTTAAAGAATAAAGACTCCATTTAGCTAGCAAATCAATTACTATACATGCATCTTGTAGATTTATCATGCACGAGGATGTCGGATCCTTAGCGATATATTTCGAATTGGTCAAATTGTAAGACTTTAAACATTCTTAATCATTTTTATGGATTACTTTCGAGTTACATAGGCAGAAACAGGCGCAACATCGATCTCGTTACCAATCCACAGAAACAAATATTTCTGCTCATGTATATAACCGAAAAATATATATATATATATATATATTTAGTCTTGAAAAGAAGATTCATAGCTAATAAACGTCGTTAAATACTGGTATTAATATATTCCTAACAATTGCATGCTGAAATGGATCTTTATCTAACTTTTTATTTTGCATAAAGGGATTTTGGGTCTTAGAATAGCTACCAATATGATTTTTGATGCTAGTTGTGTACTCTATAATTACAGAACGATTGAAGTTTATTCCATTGAATGAATTGCGTATGCCAAAATTACGTACATCGCAAAGATTACTATAGTAAATTGGTTATGCAGTAAAAAACTTATCAAAATTTTCAACCACAAATGCATAAATTGTAGCAAGAGATAGTGTGAAGATGTAATAAAATTATAAGATAGTCCTCCTAATTTGTTCGCCATCAGCGTGTATGCTATAGTACTGACAGTCTTCTGTTTTTTATCAGTATAGAATGAAAAAAGCGATTTCGACAGAGCAAGAGACCTCGTGACATTAAGGGCTTGTACAAGTAAAACCGGAACGAAATCTCCAGTAATCTAATGGACAATAACAGACGGTATAGAACGTATGCGAATCGTACCCCACTAACACGAAACGTATATGGCTACGTGCCATTTATTACGAAGAAAGTGTAGCAGTAAATTATCTTAAGGCAAATAACTGTTAAATGTATAATAAAATTTGTATTTATCCTACCATCAAAGACTTCGATTCGCCAATATTGAGTATTATCGATTCTCTATTATAACAATTTATTTATATGAAAGATAGATTTGTATACAAACATTTTCTTCGATATTTAGAGATGATTACAGGTTTGATCATAGCTTTGTCGTAGATACACATATATATATATATATAAAAGAATTTTGAAACAAAAGCAGTCTGTAGCTGTTGATTTTCCCTCAGTATGGACTAAACAAAAAGTAGGCAAATAGCATTTATATAATACTATTGCAAAATTTTACATGCATAAATATGTATTATTTCTGATATATTAAATATCGTATGACAAATTACCTGCATGATCAAACAAATGAAGATTTATGTGATATTTTTTTATACTCTTTAACATCTAGAGACAGAAAACACTATAAGAAGGACAAACTTTAGTCAAAAAAGTTGATGCATTACTTTTACCACGTGAATAATTATAGTAATCAATAATGTCGTGGAAATGTCTATTTACAGCACACACCTTAAGTTAATTAAACCTTTATATACTGATGATGTGGGACATCATTATTAAATCAAAAACAGCGTGCATCGCTTAGATGCCTACAAGGGCTGCTTATTCTTTTTTAAACCAAGACTAAGCACATCCAATACAGTATAACCTAAAAGAAGTCAACTCAGTACATATTTTGGTCCAATAAATGTACGTGTATGTCATCCGCAACGTTGAGATAATCCTAACCGAAACGTTTTAAAAATTAAAAAAATATTATGATGATATCGCCATCGTTTTAATGCTCATTACTGGGTATAACGCTCAATATAGTGTGCTATGGTTTGATAATTTTCCAACGCATTAACGTATCGATAGTTTTAAATTTAAGTTGATACTTTAATACTATATAGGTACAGGCATTTGTCATTGCTCACACTATCAGACACTAGAAAAGTCTATTTCCGATATAGACATAACAGATGACTACAAAAGGGAAAAAAGTTGAAAGATTCAGAACTGTTCAATTTTGTTACAGCGTTGAATCAATAATGCTGTGCTAATCTTACCAACTACATGCGGCTCTTTTTTGGCCCAGTAGTAGAATTATCTTTACTTTTTAATTTTCTTTTACGATCAGATTCCTATATGAAATTGACACAAACAAGTATAACGTAGAGTAAATAAGAATACTTTTCAACGAGATTCGCGTTACATTATACAAGCTTCATATAAAATAGCATTACTTTATCTTCAAAGTATATTAAATACTCCATTGAATTCGAGCAGAATTTTAGTATAGCAGCGCTATATTGTTATAGCAAGTACAAGTAATTGCAATTGTATCTTCAAGAATGTGGATACTGCAGTAGATCATTAAATCTCAGCTAAAATATAGCTCAGCAATATCATATTATTGTAGTGACACCAGTCACTCAATATATATTCAGTCCATACAGGTTACTTACTTTACTCGAATTTGCATCATTTTCTCCATTATGATCTTGTTTAGAATTACTATGCAGATAATAATAACGCAACAAGGAATTTGTTTTGTCGGTGCCTATTTTCTTGGCTGTAATATTATGGATTTGAACAATAAATGAAAAGGTACAGCATAATTACCGAACTAATCTGCCTTATCATCCATCTTTACAATGTTAAGGCGAAAAATAGCAGAATGAAATCATTGTTACCGTCATTAAATTATAAGCATAATTAAATTAACCAACTCAACTTTATATGGAAGATAATACTGTCGACTATGTGGAATAATTATTAAGATCTTACTTGATCTCGTTGTTATACATCTATCATTTAAATCGATAGCATATTACGTAAAATAAAAGATAGACAATCCACTCGTACAATCTCTTAGTTGATTTTGACTATGCGCACGGTCCAATGTACGACGTTATTACTTTATTATTCTATTACGATTAAATATCAATTTGCCAAAGTCTATGCCAATAATAAACGATATGTACTTTTTAGAACAGTCATTGAAATTTGATTTTAAATTCTCTTTACAATACTTTTAACATTCAAAATGATACGGTACTATGCGAAATAACGACTTTCATTGCGCGTATTTCCAACTTACCACGTTCCGAGCTGTCGTCCCTCGTTGATAAATATACTCGAACTGTCTGTAATTTGCCAAGAGATATTTATGAAAATAATAGTGCAGTTAATTTGTTTCCAATTGATAATTTATAACAATACTTATACAAGTATCCATTATTTTACTGGATAATACTGTACAATCACTAACGCCATAATTCATTCAAAAATGTAAAGCATGAGTATAAAGTAGATTAATGATGCATCAGCATACCGTTCTAGTCACATCCGAGCTTGATTTTCGAACTCGACTAAAGTTGTCTCTATCCAACGATGGTAAATCTTTCAAGAATTCACCCTAATACAGTAAAAGTTGAGTATTTTAAAAGTGCCTTCTGTTCAATAGGAAATATCAGCGTTGTGGATTTCTATTTAATAGTTGCAAGGTCAAGTATCCTGTACTGAGTGTACACCATGCTTGCAGTCACATATACTGCAGTAATTCCTGGCGTTGAAAAGGGGGTGATAGTTGGAATATCTGTCTACTTTAGTAGTTCCTGGTGGTCACTGTACCGCTATTATTGTCTGTAGACTGTAAAGTACTGCGTTTGTAATTTTAAGTTTATGTTTACCTGGAGAAGAGATAGAAACTATCCACAATATTGTCAAGCGTAAAAGCCATCGACGCAGTTATTATAGAAACAGGTTCAATATTGATCGTAAAAGTATTTGGCATACCTTTTTCCAATTTTTCACAATATATTATAAACTTAATTTCCAACAATAAATGTGATGATGCGAAAGACCGCTGAAAAAACTGCAACTCTTGTCTGATACGCAGTACTATCGTTTTTAATGTTTAGCGTACTATGACGTAGAGCATGATATGCCCGATCTATCTACTCTACAGTATCATTAATAGTCTAATTTTAATGTTCTTAACCATCAACGCTAGGCTTTGTTTCAATTTGTTCATTAATAATCATTCTTCTCGAATGGAAAGCGCCTTAAAAGTACGTACTGCTCTCTGCCTGTATAGTTTACATGAGGTAGCGAAAAGATGATACATACATACCATGACAGTTGAAGTCTACATAGAAGTAAACTCTTCTTGTTAATATGTCCTTTTAGTAGACATTTCTTTTACATTGAATCATGCACAGAACAAAGAATTACGTCTTGGATTTTCGTCAAATTCTTAGAAACCTATCAAGTCATACTGTATTCATTTTTACATCTACTCGTATCTATATAGGTTTATATATTAGGTATGATTAACGTACTGGGTACAATAGCAAGCTATCGATGTCTGTATCACTCTAGAGACCCTACTGGAAGGGTGTCTATATCAGCCGATCTGGTAGGCTGCAGCACTTGCTATCCAACATTGGCAATGTGAATGGTAAATGCGACTACCAACGTTCATGATGTCCGTTTAATTTGTTCTGCTAGCGATCGCATTAGCGATTTTGCAAATGATAGAAAAGTAATGTTAACATCTGCCTAAAGGAACATTAGTAGTAAGGTTGTTCTCCTCCTCCTATGTATTTCTTGCTGTGAAGCATCAACTACAAAAAATATACTTCAAGTATTCCTATTCCATCTCATCTCTTACTTGAATGGATGATCGACATCCATCATCAAGGAACTTAAGTAATGTAGGTATGATGGATCACCGATTTTCATGGATGTTGAAATCCATCGGCATGGAAACGGGAAAACGGGTGACACGTCAATGTTGACGATAAGCAGCAATCGTCATTGATAGTGAGAGAGAAGGTTTAAGATATAATTACGTAATTACTGTAGGAAAGGGAGGAGGGAAGGAGGAAATGTCTTTCCACTTTCTCCTTGTACCTATGTGGATGTCTTCATTGTGATCATTAAGGCTGTAGTAATCAATGTTGAATTTTATTTCATCCGTACAGACTGTGTCAATGGCATGACGACAAGAAAATGTTGACTTGAATAACTGCGCTATCTTTTCAATGACTGATAGTCAAGCCATGTTATGATATGGCCTCTCTCATCACTACTCTTCTATCTTAGCATCATTCTATTTCAAAGCAAACTTACCATTGCCATTCATTAAAATCATGATAGTTATAATCGATGTGCTGGATCTTATCAATTGGATAGACTGAAGGTTGCAGCAGAAGAGAAATTTCAATCTTTGAGCCGCAATCGTCAAGTCCACACTAGGCCCTCCTGCGTTTCAATGTAATAACTCCTGAGTCGGTGCAGTTGACTAGATCGTCATCCAGCCTTGGTCAACGTTGAAGGTGGCATATCACTAGTTGAAGATCATCTTGGTCTTTGACCTGGACATGGAAGAGTGAAGACGCCACTGTATGAATATGGACTATAGTATGAGCAAATACTTGAGCAAGATGTCGTTTCCCACTAGGGCGGTGGATAACGTCTATCTGGGCCTAATGTCATAGTGTACAGTGTACAGTACAACACTCTACAGTACTTAATACCGTCAGTACAGTACTGTACTGTACGTACTGTACAGTGTACATTGGCCAATGGAATTTCGTCTTTACAGTACTGTACTGTACTGTACAGTACAGTACGGTAGGAAGTGCAGGGGCAACCTCTTTCAGTACATTTGTCGACATTACTATCGCAATACCTTAGAAACATGACGCACAAGCAGTACCACAGCGCTGGATGATATTATGTTGTGTTACTTGTGTATGGTCGTCAGCGAGCACATTTGCCCCCCGGCCTTTTCCCTCAGTGATGGTGGCCCAGAAGGGACAAGCAGGTTTTACATTATTTGCCCAACTCTGTACAGTACATTTGTCTACTGCACTGTACTATCACGATACCTTAGAAACATGACGCACTGGCAGCGCTGGATAATATTATGTTGTGTATTGGTCGTCAGCCTGCACATTTCCCCCCCTACCCCTCCAGTTATGGTGGCCGAGAAGTACAGTACAGTACAGTACTGTACAATGTACTGTACAGTGCAGCACAATAGTACTGTACTGTCATTCTGGGCCACCGTACTCAGTAGTACAGTACTGTAAGTTGAGTGTAACAGTCTTCTGCACTCCAAAATTGGCGTTCAAACTAAACCTGAGAAAGGTTTAGCGAGTTGGAGCATGGTGGAAGTAAACAAATCAAGACTTTTTATTCCTATTCAGTTGGACTGACTTTACTGTGGGTTGCAGCAGTAGAGTAGAATAAGATATAGTCGACCTTATTACAGGGACATACAGTACTGTAGTTAGCAATTGTAATAAGAACAGCACATACAATGTGACGCAATGCAGCATAAAAGCAGCACGTTAAAAAGTCACGCATATCGCCATATGGTCACGCATACAGACCTGGAGTGTCTCTAGTCATGCAGTGTTTAGTCATCAACTACCAAAAGAAGCTTGAACCTTCTTTTAGTTGCCTATGGTAGAGCACTTTACGCAACAAGAGTACTCACCACACAATCCCTGCTGTAAGTACACTACCTTAAATAGAATTCTTGGCCATACTGGAGCGCGCTTCTAACGAAATGTCCTTACAGTGCAGTATAGTAGTGTACGTACAGTATACTGTACGGTTTCCTGCACACTGTTGTAGACCCAACCATTTAAATGGATATTTTTGCACACTTGGCTGAAACTGTCCTACTGGTGCTGTAGTGCAGTATGTCCTTAACTTTAACAATAGTCCAAAAATAATAATGATATCAATGTTAGTAATAGTCAAAAAATAATAATGATATCTATGTTAGTAATAGTCAAAAAATAATAATATTATATAGATTAATCATAGTCAAAAAATACAGTAATAATAAAATATATATTATATAGAGAGAGTAACATATATATATATAGATGACGAATCCCAAGTTTCAGCTAAGTGTACAAAAAACATGAAATTCAGATGGTTGGGTCTACAACACACTCATGCACTAGTGCGCCAATGTTACTCATTCACTAGAAACAGTTGCGCAAAATGGACAACTATTTATTTGGAATTTTTCACAATTTTTAATAGTTGACATTTTCGAGGTATGCATGAATTTTGATTGTATTCATTAAACTAATTATTCGCCTAATTTATAGGGGATATTTTCTATAAGGACATTTGTACTGTATGCAAATATCCACTCACTCTCTTTTCGTCAACATTCAAGTAAGATGAGCTTATAGATTACAAATTGGCTAAAAAATGAATTCATTCAATTTCGCAAACTTTTAAAATTCAATTTTGCATGCATGCTGGCCTATTGTGCAGTGTACAGTATAAGTATGAACTTGTACATTAAATACGATATAGCGTACACTATCACAAGCCCGTCATTATTCCTCTGATCGATATAGAACATAGGTAGTCGACTAAGTACAACAAGGAGTGCTTAAATTAGATAGTATCCAGGCCAAAGCAGATAAGCAACAGTCAAAATTGACAGCTATTCAACTTAAATGTAATCGTAGATCAACCTTCGAAATCAATCTTAACTTGAATCCAATCTACTCAGCATTCTCATGTACCAATTTAACAAGTTGTTACCAAATTACTCCGGTTGAACACGAGCAGCTACTTAACATTTAAATTACTCTAATAATTATATTTGTTGATTGGTGAAATTTCCAATTTGTATAATTATGAACTTACGCTGGATCGAAAAATTGGCTACGGAAGAAAACCGCTAATAGAGATTTTATAGACTCGTCCTGGAAGTGAACGTGTCGAAAAGTATCGGAAAATAAGAAAAATAAATACACACGGAATACACTAGAAAAGCTAACTTATATTATTTAAAAGCTAATTGTATTTTTATTTCCCAGCTTAAAACATGAAAGATGCTAGCGAAATCTAAATTCCTCATTTATGAACCTTCATGATTGATACCAGCTAGTTAAAAAGATATCGCAATAGTTCTACTCGTATGCCTGAAAGTAGTACCGTTAGTTTAGCGTTGAGGCTAAATTCCTAATTACTGTAGTATCAGAATGACCACCATGCGCTACCCGTGAAAATTGTGTCTTCGTATATTAGGCATATTGGTAATATTGCTACCTTGACTTAATAAGTGATACTCGAGTACGTAAACCAGTGCATTGGGTACACTGAAAAATACTCCTCTAATTTATGATAGCTGCATAAATGAAAATTCTATCTTCAAGTTGTTGAGATACCATTCACAAAGCTAAAATTACCATTGATTCAAACTACATCGATGCACAAAATATTACTGACTACTAACTGCCTTTACATATTTACAATGAACGGGAAGGAACTACTCCTTACTGATTTACAATTATTAAATCTATGTATAATAGAATAAAAATTACGTAATTATACTATGAAGGGAATTTGTATATTGCAGCATATCGTATTACTTCAAGATTCCTTGTATATATTATTTTTTAATTTCTGCATTATAGGATCAAATGTATGAATTATAAGCTTTACCAACTCTACAACATCCTATATAATATTGGCAATATGAAAAACATAAATCATGATTGCTTATTCATCGTAAAGCGTGAAGCTTCTCAACTCTATAGCATCAACTCCACTTAATTATTATCCGTGTGAAAGAAATGAAGGATAATTGCATATTAATTGTAAAACGCAAGGCTTCTCAACTGCCTTAATAAACATTGTTATTTCTCTTTTATCGTAGTGAATAGGATTGAATCCAAGTTAAATTTAGACCGAAAGTGCATAATGAATAAGTTAAGATAACTTATTCAATTGACAAGTAGAGCTTGGGTATGGCACGGCTGGATGTACGATTTGCGCCAGTCGAACACGGGCAATAATTAACTACCCGGAATAACTATATACGAGTATAGCTACTAATGCTTCATGTTAGCAACTATACCCTATACAATATAGATCTAATTTACACGTGGAATTGTTAGCAGCTTACCATAGTAATTCGCCTCTTTCTATCTTTTACTGGCACCATAGATAACAGCACCTTTTTGATGATGTTGCTTATACACTATACTGTTATACACTCGACACAAATTGATGTTTACGTTTATATAAGTTAGAAATGAGTCGCTGACTTAATTAATTTTTATTTCTATTCTCCTTATCCCCTAATACCGTACTGACTTATTTTACATTTATTATAAAACATATGGCTCGCTGTCGAAAGATTATAGTCTTTTCCACAAGCCACGCGTTGCTTATGTAATTGCTATACAGAAAGAGTATTAAACTCATGTTCCGGCCTTTTGTGCAATCCTAAAAGGTTTAAAATAGCATGTGGCAAATATTAATGCAAGATATTTACCACGTAGTTGGCTAGCATATTGTACATCGGATGAGAAATTATGGTACTAAAGTTAAAGCTTTAGAAGTAATCAAGCCTGAAGAAGATCTTCTTCTGTACTATACTGCGATTCGCTAATGCAGAACAGAAAGAGAAGGGCCTGTAGCATTACTGTTTTATTGCTGTAGTACAGCCCTAAACATACCAATTTCGTTTTTCTATGTCTATTAATCGACGTTATTGACAGCGTAATACGGCATTAGTAGAAAAATCAATCGATGCAATAAATCGAAACATATTCTCTCAGCCTACTTGTTCTTTTATTTTAAGAACGCTTTTTCAGCTCTTAAAGACATGAATGTGATTGATTCAAACTCTAATAGAAGGGCATTTCAAGAGTAAATTAGCTGCAGTAATATCTTTCAACTTTTTCCCATGAAAGGAATAGGATCCAGGCTCTAATTAGATTATCATTTATTCGGTAGATGCCCTATTGCTATAACAGATTGAACACGTTATAGTGGTAGACATGCATATTTCTATACCGAATAAAATGAAAAGCTCATATCCTACTCGTATATCAGCCCACATAAACTTACTGTACTAGTATACTCCTATTCAATAACAATGGGCGAACATTTTTCTTACTCTATAGTTTCTCATGGATTATCTGTTCAATAAATCAATGAGAAATTCATAAATGACTATGATTTGAATTCACAGCCAATGGATGGCAAAACGCAGTTATACGATATCATAATCGCGACTAATTCTCATATAAATTGTGACGATCCATCATTAACTTCTAAGCCCTATACTTGCATGTAGAGTAGCAAATGGATATTTATTGACAAATTTTCCGTTAAGCAGATATGAATTTATCACCATTATTATGAATATATATCGGCATTTCCTTTTGTATTGAACCATCCAATATAACGAGCATCCTAAATTAAAAGTGTGCTTAGTTTATACTTGTATATGAGCCTTTTTATAATCTATATGAAAGTATCTCAAAAATGATAAAAAAATTGTCTTTGAGGATACTAATTCATTAATCTCATCTACTAATATAATACGTAGATCACCCAACAATCTGTCTGTGTTTATGATAATTAATACTATAGGTATTCATATTTTTCCTGAATACCATGCAGAATGATCTATCCGTTCCATACCAAGATTAACTAATTTACAATGAGACACTGAAGTTAGGAACAATTTAAATTGGTCTCAAGACTTGATCATCATAGCAAGGGTTATGCTTACCAATGGCTTATAAAAGTCCTACGAAGTATGTGCTTATATAGCAGTCAATTCTAAAAGAGGCTAATAGCACCCACGTTGCTCCACTAAATAGTTGCTAATTAAATACTAAGAAATTAGCATCATAGAAATAAAAAGCATCGAGATGATATAACTAAGGGTAAACAGCTCACAACTTGTATCCACTGCCATCATGGTCACGCTATAACCTTATGATCATAAACCAGTTACAACTATAAGAAAGCTCTACAGGTAAAGCATTAAAATGTTCACGCTCAGTATGTAAGCCAACAAGTAATTTATTGCCTTCTAGTATATAATCAAAAAAGATTTTAATTACGTACCTGATATTATTACAAATATTGAACAATTCTAAGCAATCATTTTTAGCTACTTTAATTGTATTTACTTAAGATTTTACGAAGACGCTTTACCCTTAAAGTAAATTCATTAATACAAAAACGAATTTAACCAATCTAGTGAACATTTACATTATAATTTTTTGCCATTAGATAAGCATAATATCTACACAACGTATGCACGTATTTTATTGAAAAGTTGGTCCGGTAATCTTAATGTAATGAACGGAAAAAAAATGACGGCTAGAATACAAGTTACAGCGTTGCATTAAATCTCTTCTTTTCATTATAGCTGTTTGAAACTTATGATATAATCCTTATATTACAAATTATTGACATTAATCATCAGAAGCAATCAATCACTTACAAAACACTGTATTGTTGAAATGAAATAAATGTATTTCTATCATAATTTTGAAACTTTCGATAAGGCCAATTTATACACTTATAATCGATCGGAGGTAGTTGTTAAAGATGGAATAAGTTACAAATTTATGCTGTATTTTAATAGTCATCGAAAGTAAATCAGTTTGATATCATTATCATCACCTACAAAAAATACTTCGAAACACTTAACTCCACTTATTTACAGCGCTTATCAACTTTTAGTTCTATTCAGGAGTAGGAGAATCCTATTTAATTCCGATGGAATAGAATTTGATAAGTAGGTATATGACTGTGGAAGTACGAAAAAATTATCCAGTTAACGTCCAAACTGGCTTACTCTGAATCTCCAATACTGGGGGAAATGCTGCATTATCAGAGTTGCATTTGGGATGCCGTAAGTACGTACACTTACTTAATTCTTCCATCATTTTTCGTAGATTTTCATTCTTCTTTAAATCAGCTTTAGTAATCTTACCAGAAATGTTGGTCGATGTATTTATTTGAGGATATAGTTGATGAGTATGGTTAGCACTGGGTTCATCTTTTTTATCATTATTATTTTTCCTATTACCACTATCCGCTCTATCGCGCTTACTAGATAATAAACGATTTTCGATAATGTCTTTCTTATTGGATATTAATGCAGGTAGATTTTCCATACTTGATCTATTGGATTCATTAGTTTGACCAATATTATTACGATGTTGATTTTGTTCAATTGGCGGCATCTTCACTGTGTGCTCTTGCGATCGATGTGCGTTGGACACTTTAGCATTAGCGGAATTATGATTTGATGATGCCACTAAATTTTTCTTATAATTTTCTAATGGTAATAAGACAATATCCGTTGATGATGAACTCTTGGATAGAGCGATATTTCTTTTAAGATCTTGTTCCCTATTAACATTACTATCGCGATTGTCGTAATCGACCACAATCCAAGTTTTTTCTTGGCAAATTTTATGGCCTGAAATACTAGGCAAATTGCTATCATGATGACGATGATAATGATGATGACCGTTAGAATGACCTTTATTATGGCGATGATGATTATCTTGTTGGTTAGCCGTATCGTGATCGGATGTTATTTTAGACTTTTTAAGGTTTTGTTGTTTTTTCTTAAATAATTTTTGTTCACTCGATATATTGCTCAAGCGATGAGCACCTTCACGATTTAGTTGACTAATTTTCTCTTTGAGTATCATATTTTCGCGTTGATTTTGTACTTTGGCTAAATTCAATTGTCGGCTTGGATCATACTTTGTATAAGTTTTATTCTCCTCCATGACTTGATTAGAAACGGCGCTAATGACGTCTGCTTTGCTTGAACTGCCTTTAAAATAATATTTGACGGTATTACCTTGTATATGCTGTGCAGCATCCATATTAAATGACGATTTAGTAAGTGTTCTCACTTGTAATAGTATTATTGGTAAGTAAAAAGGAAAATTTTTTAATTAATTTAGAAAATTGATTGATTGAATTCTTTCAATTATAACCCTACAATAAGTAATATAAAAATAATAAACAACCTTATTGAAAATGTATGATATATTAATCAATTAATATAATAACATTATTTTTGGAGGAGAAAAACAATAATCGCCAAAATTTTTATAGTATGGATTGTAATGAGTACTTTATATTCAAATTTTGACAAGTAATATTAAGTTAGGTTGTACAAGGATGGGTGGTCTTCTGCTCTGTTAATAATGTTATCATCAATAGGTTTAAAAATTAATTAACTTAATAAAGGGTTTCACCTAACTATAAAATTATTTCATTAATGTTAATTCTTTAAGGTAGTTTGGACGTTAGAATTATCTATATTAGAACAACTAAATTATAGTGCGATTCCTTTATTCACCACCATTTTAAATTTTCATCATTGATGATGGAATAAAGTCTAAATTGAAATTATAGACCATTGTCTACAATTTATTATTAATAAGATTATGCACAATATTTTAAACATTCTAACACCGGTATAGGCGCATAGAATAAGCGTAAACTAACACTGGAAATTAATATTTTTATCGCAAATGATTCTTTAACATGAGAGAAATTATTCTAAGTACTAGAGGGTGTCATTTTTAAAGTAAAATCTCATCAATTCAATTAATACCTTAGAAGATGCTAATTAAAATCATATTTAATTGATATAACCTATCAACTAGTCAAGCATTCTCAGAAATCAATCTTTCAGTAAAAACTATAATTGAGTTCACTTTATTCCAGACTCTTATATTATTTTTCGTTCTGTCTACATTTAAAATCTCACGCTACATAGAATAGGGTCTAAATTGCTATGGGTAAGATATAATAAATAATTTGCTTATTAAATGGGGAGTGCATATCAATAGGTATTATATTAGAGGATCTAATTAACGCTGAATATTGTACTGATGCTTATTATAAACTTTATTACTGCATTATTATTGATCACAGTAAATAGGACTATTATTAGTCGTATTACGCTATTTTAAAAGCAAAAAAGTTGTTGACGTTAAAAAATGGAGCTTAGTAGTAATAGATTTGAGCTATGGACTAAATTTATTTGTGAGCTACCATCTGAGCTGACACATTAGATCGTTGACAGAGGTAAGAGTAATAAAGCCGATTACCACGATGGTAATTCAATACTAAGCCCTAAATCGATTCTCTACCATTCGAATCAATCTTAGCCTAGTTGCGTCTTAATCTATTTTTGCTAAATCAGAAAGTAGCTGATGGCTATTATACAATAGCGAATCTAATGACGTCCAATGATTATTCAAATTACGCCATATCAAACTATTACGCTGATGCACAAGTAAACATAATTTGTAAGTTTATTTCTTCAATCCTCTTAAACATCTGTATACAATTGCCATACAATACCCAAAGATATCAAAACTACATTGATTAGAATGGAATTTATCTACAGCAATACTCTCTAACTGATGTAGCCTGCTTTTAATATGTTAGGTTATAAAACTCTTTTATCCGACAATAAAAGATGGTGAAGAGGATTTTTTTCCATTATTTGCTTAAATGATACATAACAAGAAATAGGAATGCAAATCTGCAATTTAGTTATCGTATTATCCAGCTAGCTTACCTTTTCACTATCTACCGCTATATAATTGTAATCGTAAACAGCTTTTAAAGATAGCGAAGTCTATTGATATTTTTATTTGTATATTATTTACTCAGATATTCAATAATAAATAAAAAAATAAATAGATAGAAATTTAACGATCGTATCAACGAACTGCTACTCGTTATCGTGTTAGTAGCAACCGCCTTGACATGATCATAAATCAAATCTTTACTTATGTTAAGGTCTATAGAAACAGGCGATTGTCTACTTCTTACTCGGATACCCAAAGGTAATATAAACATAAAATTGTAATTTAGCACCCATTTAAACTGTCTACAGTGCCATTAATGACCATTTGGTCATAATAACAAAATAAGAAATCTTCCTAGCCATGACTGCTATAAAAAATAGTCATTGTCTTAGGCCTGAATAAAATCCACGACTAATATATCTATAAATTATACTATATTGTAACCGAGTCATCCTACAAATTATCTATACTTATATCAATCACTTGCTCGTTATAATTTGATTAATATAATCATAAAATAAATTCTACTGACGCCTACCGCTGTTAAATGGCGACAAATACTTATTACCGACTGAAAGAGAACCTATAAGATAATGAATAGGCATAAGCGATTGCGACCGAATAAATCAAATGCACTAAATTCAACTATAGGATCTTTATATTGATCAGTTAATGGTAATAATCATAAAATAATCTTTACTAATGATAACAGTCATAGGTAAAAGGATGATCATCACTTATTTTTTATGTAATACCTGAGAAGAAATGCAAAGAGAAGATCTCAAATTTAGCGTTCATAGGAATTTTGTATAAGTATCCTATCCTTCTATCGATTAAACCAATTCTCAGCTATTGTAGATATAGTTCTAAGTTATTTTTACGAGCGATTGCGACTATTAAAAATATTGCTGTATTTCACTAAAAACTTGTCTGATAAGTACCACAAAATGGAGACTATAATTTACTAAATCCGTGAAATGTCTACTGTTAGAATGTATAAGATGGAAACACAACATATAACTTATTACAGCTCATTAATTAAACTATACATTAATTTAACTATATTTTCCCATATCAGAATATTTCAAACCAGCTATTATCCAATTGACTAGGTAAAAATTTGGATATCTCACAATATTAAAAGAAATAATATAAACTTGCAGTAATATGACCGTTAGCCTTTTTTACTTTCCCAGAAAATAAATGTTTAATTATTGCTTATTAAGGGTTATCCTCGTGAAAATTTGAACATGCTAAGTCAGACTAGTGAATAACACATTTATTTATCTGATCTTTACGTTCATTTTATCATACTGTACTAAGTCGCAATTATAGCATAAACAATTAAGAGAAAACAGAATCGTATACAATTGGTAAAAAAATTTGAGTTTAATTCATTGATTTATTACTAGTAGTAAACTGGATATTGTACTAGGTTTATTACATCCAATACCAGTTCTTGTAGGAGAAGTGACATATTGGATATATTTAACAGTTTCACTCCTTCGAATTCAAGCTTATGGAAAGCATATTATCACTATTTATGGGTGTGATTAAATATGAATTGTGATTAAAATTATTATCTCTCCCATATAGACAGTGAAATCACTTTGAGCCATATAGTAATAGCTTTAAGGATAATCTTATTTCTTTAACTCTCAAGATCCATTAACACAATAATTTAGCAAATTAGATATTTCTTAATATACTAATATGTACGTATGCAATATCTTCCATAAAATTCGCGTTAAAATTTTGTAGTATAGCTGAACTGACCTGTGCTCATCTACCAATTTAGCTATGATCTTGTCTTGAAATGGGCTTGAAAGTGTTCGACTAGACTATCGATCTGTTAGTGCAATATACGTCGTAGTAAAAGTTAGCTGTTTATTAACTAAATTAAATGATTTAAAATTAAGGATAGCAAGGCAAATATATTCTTTTTCAATTTAATAAATCTCAGGATAAGAAGAATATAATATTTAAATAACGAGATAGATAATAATAGTCTAAGCTAATAATTTCTATAAATGTATTCTTTTTTATACTCTTACTTAACCAATCGTATAATGATTATAGGAAAACAATAAAGCAGGTGCACACTTCGGTATACCGCAAGTAAGAAAAAAAAATTTTTTAATAAAAGTACTAAATTTATATATTCTGTTATTGAAATTTTGCATCATTCTCTTAAACTAAAGGTTACTATCTATCATGGCAAAATTAAACTGACATTGAAAAGAGGATAGCAATGATTGATAAAATTGTCTTTAATGACATGAGTAATATCGTATTTTTAAAAAGTTACGACATAGAGGGCGAAACAATTAACGTATCTTAACATTTGAATATCAAACGATTTAAAGCTACTATTGGCGTTGTTTGGCTTATATTATACCATTACCATGGCGATATTGAAGTTATCGGAGTGGACAGGATTTTACCTTATATTAATTAATTAATTGATAAGAGGTTAATAAGAAATAGTGTCAAATCATCTATCATATTAAATCTGGCATGCATCTCCCAATATAGGAAAAGATTTATGACAGATTGCACGATAAAAATTAATTGAAAATTTAACAATAAACGATACTACTATGTTAGATTAGAATTTTTTAAAACAATTATTGTTGAATATTTATTAACTAATGATAAGTTTGAATATACTAAAGGAAAGAATGAAAATCGGATTCTTCCTATTGACTATACTAAACTATAATATGATTTATAGTACTGTATTTTAAGATTGGCTACGGTTTTATAAATATTTATATTGATATAACTTACTTTTTTATATATTTCTATATAGTGTAGTAGAGATAAAGCTAATGAAAAAGCAATAATAATATCCGTAAATTGCATCAATTTTAGTAGCGCTGGCCATGATTACAACATCCTGGCCCTAATTTAAGGAGCAGGCTAGCCTAGTAAGTAGCTTAAGTATCTTATCTAAAAATGTCGATATCTATATCCGATCATAAAATCTTCATAAAACACGTCATCGTAGATCAATTCTTAGCAACTAATCAAACTCATTCAATCTAATTTCTCTCTATGAATGATTGCTATCTAGAATTTTCTAAATTTAAAGTTTTTGTAATTAAAATTCCATGGGATTTTTGAATCGCTGCATGCAGTAAAATTATCAATGGTAGTATAAAATATGCAAAAGCGAAAAATGGACGATATACAATCTATTAAACTATTCCATTCTTTAAAATATCTTTTCTGATTTTTTAAACAGAAATATTGTAACCGTAGTTATTGTT